AACACAAATTTTATACTCGCTACATTGTGTAATGTAAATGTTTACTGTTCAACATTTATTATTTTACGCCTACCTACGCTTCTTATTCTTACAAAATACAATATTGACCGCATCGAAAGACATGCATGCTTTTATTGAGAAATAATTGATAACATTTTGTAATTGTAATGATTTTATATTAATGGGAATCTTATGTTCATCTAAAATTTTTTAAATAAATTATGTATTAAAAAGTTAAAGTTATTTAAAAAAAAACATGTAAAATCAATGTCACAGTTTTCATTTTTAAGTTAGCGATATATTATGTTGTTTATGTTCTTTCAAAGGGAGTAGTCACATCATTGAGTGTATTATGATTACGGCCCACTTGCACGCACGTAAATGTTAAATGAAATTAAAACAAGATGATGTTTAACCTCATTCCATCTCTACATACTGTAGGCAAGTTCACAATAATGAAATGAAGTTTTAAAGTGGACTTTGTCTTTATTTCATTTAAGAATAGGTGCAAGTTGCCCTTATTTGTATTGTTGACCTGGTTTTGGCTGAAAATCAACACAGTGCAACAGGTTGATAATTTAAAATAATTTACTACATATTTTTGAAAAAATAGCTTTAATCCAAATCATGTCGAATGTCCATATTGTACCCGCTCTAGTTAAAATTGGGAAGACTCCACTCTAAGTTACTTTACGTTTACCTGGGACAGACAGTTTAGTCAGGTAAGAACAACTTTAAGAATCTAATACGCAAAACCTTCGCTTGCAAAATATGTCTAAAATTCTCTTTCATCAAAAAAATTTGATGTACTTGTGTTGGTCATTGGGCATAAGGTTTCTACATATTTTGCATTTTATTATTAAATGTCGAATCCCCTATACCTACGGTAACAAAGAGTTAAAGTTAACAATTGTTAAATAATTTACGTGTCATCATAACAAAAGAATACCGCACGTCACGATGAATAGCCGTGCGTGTGCCGCGACAATACCGATGTCCCGTCGAAAGTTGCCCTCTCGCAAATCAAAATTTGCTATTAATAACATGTCATTACATAAATGGTTGAGTAACGCTTATAAGTTGTGAGTTGTATACAGTACCTACCTATGATGAGAATCATGATATGATTTCAGTTAAGATTCAAATTAAAGTCAGAGGTCAACTGAACCGGCTTTACCTCTGCGCTTATATAAGTTCTAATGAGGTAACTTACTTCATCTGTTTGTCGGTGGACATGTAATTTAATGATATGCTACTTGCAGACTACTCTTTAGCGTAGGTAAATGTAATAATATAATTGATCTGTCAGCTTATTCCTATGCTATGTGATCACAAACACTGGGGAATCTTGGCATAATAAAAAGTATATTTTGTTTATATACCGACTAAACGTCTACTACCTAGGTAACGCATATTTCTATATGGAAGGCCATTGCGTAAATTACTTTATATTATTTCAACTATTCAATCGCGCTTTATCTGATTTGATTCCAGAAAGATTAAACAATTATAATTTAGCTTAGAGAAAGCAGACACGATGAAAGGCATTCGAGATAAATTATGTTAAAAACTCGATACCTACCACAGCTGTGTTGTTACTCTTGGTGCCTAATTGCGACTAGGGAGGTGATAGAGGGAAGGTAAGGTAGCAGGGATATAAACAATAAAGTGAAACACTAGGAGTCCATTAACACACTGGACGTTCATTTCATGATCCTTGGGCGTATCCATGCAAGGAAGCTTTGAAAATCTCGGTATTCAGAAGGGTGACTGTACACGTCAAGCTACTTCATTCCACAGGTTTATCAAGTCGCTGAATCAACGAGTCATTGCTCTGTCATAAGAGTATTAATAAATATGTACGAAGTTACGAACAATAGGTGGTCTCAGACCTAATAAAGTCTCTTCAGTGTGAATTTGAATATACTGATGTTGATTAAGATAGTAAAGAATGTCAGACGTATGATAATTAAAGGTATTTGGAGAGTGTTTAGAATGTTAACGAGGTGGCTGGCATCGCAAGCATTCCGCTGTAAACGTGATAGGTGACGAGCCTTTCATGGTGTATCAAGATTTGCGACTTGCTTTCACGACACCGCTTGGGACAGTTGTAGCAATCACCCCGTGAACTCACATATAGTAAGAAACAGTCTTCAAACCAAAGTGTTGTTAATTTATTCATCAATTGATTTTATTTAGTAACTCTACGTGAATTTCTGTTTAAGCTTACTGTGCTCTGTTAAAAAGGACACATTTTAATGTTATTATATTCTTTATTGCACACAAAAATTGTAAGATACAAAACATAAATGTTTTTCTGAGTTAAGTAACAATAGGATGGGTAAACAAAAAAATATTTTCTCGGGCTGAACCGGGCTTCGGAAGGCACGCTATGATTGGTCGCTCTAGTGGTTATCACCCACCAATCCGCACTAGGCCCTTGGGTTGGGTCATGGCCTAATCTCAGTATGCATCCATATGGAAGGTCTGTACCCCGACAGTGGGGACAATAATATTATCATTATGTAATGTATGGATTACAAATAAATTTTTTTAGCATACATTTGTCAACTAATGAAAAATATTGTCAAAGAACAAAGAGATGGCAGCTGGTAATGAATAATTAATATCACTGATAAGTTTGCGGTGTACAATACTATCATTTATTCATAAAATTATATAATCCCACGCAACATCAGCTTATTAATTATCTATTGTGCTTGGCTTTTATCTTTTAATAAGGAAGCAGCTTTAAGGTCACGAATGTAAGATTTATTATTAATCTTTAAGAGAAAATTTTGTTATGACTTATGAAATAAAAATGAGTAAGTAGTCAGGAAGCATGTTGTTTTGTGTTTATTTGTTTGGGAATATTCATCATCATCAACCTATTAACGTCTCCATTACTGAGGCACAGATTTTATATATTTTTTTTGGTCACCCACGCAATAACCGACCACTGCACTTCTAAAAATAAAATACTACTTTTTGGGCTTCGATGCCCAAAGGGTAAAAATTATACTAAAAACAAAGTCTCCGTTGTTCGTTAATCTGTCTGTCTGGCAGAAATGTTCCTATGTCATGAGCCATAAAGACAGTTGTTATGTTTACAGAATGTGTTTTTCAAAAACTGTTTAAAAAAACCATGGATGTTCCCCATAACAAAAAAGAAAAGTTTTTAAGGTGTAACAGAGTGACATATTCTTAAATCTTTTAAAAATGAAACAGAACATTTCGTGTGCGAGTCGGAACTGACCTTTTTTTCCATAATTCTTAATACTTGAAATTGCTTAAATGTTAACAAAATGTCTGGCAGAACTGTTTGGATTATACAAACCACAATTTTCTACCTCGGAACCTAAAACAGTATTTTATTTTTAACTAGTCAAAAAATATAGTTATTTGATAATCCAGATAGTAGTCGTATGTAACAACCAATAACTGAATGACGTAATCAAATGTACCGCCACTATGACTAATGGATGGAGATGACTATAACTATGTGGAGATGTTCATCTTGTAAGTCTAATAAATCACGAAATCACCACAGTACATTATTTACCAGTAGAATATTATACCAGTGGGGATTTTCTCCTCTGATCTTTAATCTCGACATGCTTTCTTTTAATGCCTTATTTAATACAAAAATGTAATTAACCTAAGACATGATTATAACACGCAAAGTGAAAATGTAAACTGAATCTAAAGAAAATATAACTAGAAAAAATTCCACGCGGACCAGGCAGCAGACGGGACTCGAACCCGCACCCTTCGCAATCCGGGCGAATGCACTGACCAATTATGCTACCGCGGCCCTCACGGACCGCGTCGAAATTCTTTCTAGCTATTCTTAAGCTGCAAGGCATAGCAAAGCAAGCAAGCATGTGAGGGCCGCGGTAGCATAATTGGTCAGTGCATTCGCCCGGATTGCGAAGGGTGCGGGTTCGAGTCCCGTCTGCTGCCTGGTCCGCGTGGATTTTTTTCTAGTTATATTTTCTTTAGATTTAAACATCAAGCAGTTACATGCTTTAGAAATAATAAAAATTATAACTATAATTGCTATTTCTTCTTTCAAATGTTTAATACTTGTAAAAGTATTCATTTGACATTGTGGGTTTACCTATAATGCGAAGAGATGGCGCTGCCTTGCAGCTTAAGAATAGCTAGAAAGAATTTCGACGCGGTCCGTGAGGGCCGCGGTAGCATAATTGGTCAGTGCATTCGCCCGGATTGCGAAGGGTGCGGGTTCGAGTCCCGTCTGCTGCCTGGTCCGCGTGGAATTTTTTCTAGTTATATTTTCTTTAGATTTAAACATCAAGCAGTTACATGCTTTAGAAATAATAAAAATTATAACTATAATTGCTATTTCTTCTTTCAAATGTTTAATACTTGTAAAAGTATTCATTTGACATTGTGGGTTTACCTATAATGCGAAGAGATGGCGCTGCCTTGCAGCTTAAGAATAGCTAGAAAGAATTTCGACGCGGTCCGTGAGGGCCGCGGTAGCATAATTGGTCAGTGCATTCGCCCGGATTGCGAAGGGTGCGGGTTCGAGTCCCGTCTGCTGCCTGGTCCGCGTGGAATTTTTTCTAGTTATATTTTCTTTAGATTTAAACATCAAGCAGTTACATGCTTTAGAAATAATAAAAATTATAACTGTAAACTGAAATTAAGCAAAACATAAGTTATTAGGAATTTAGGTAAGAACTTATAACTGAACTATGTAATATACCTATGTGGTTGATGGACCACCAAAGTTCTTAAATTTAACTTTAAAGATAATCATATGAAAACTGAAAAATCATTCTATCTTTAATAAGATCAATAGGATTAAGGACTTAATTTGATTTAAGAATGTTGGTTTTGATTGAATGGGTTGGTTTTGAATTGGGTTTGATTTAACAATACTACAACAATAATTACCATTTTACTTACAGGATGTATGTATAGTGCGTAGGTCGGGCGCGCAGGTACACGAAAATTTAAAACAATAAATGTTTAATTACATCGAACATGAATAGCAAGGTTAACTTCTGGTGTAGATTGGACTGTGCGTGCAGCGTGAGCGGTTGGGCGGCAAGCTTTCAGTCCCCCTCCATATTGGCGGGCGGGCGGCAAACGGCGCGCGCGCACCACGCAGTCCCAGCGCGACGCACACCGCGACACCATGCTTCCTCTGTGGACGATACTCGTGCTGCTCCCAGTACTCGGTAAGTCGAGTGACTGCTCCGAAATATCAAGTGATAAAACAGTGATCTAATCGTTTAAGGTGAAGAAAATCAATCCTTCTTATTTAGAAGAAAACAAAACCTTGTGTATTTCAACCAGCAGGATGTGTTCCTGAATGTGTGATAAAAAGTACTGTGAAGAATTAAAAAAAATATCTTTGTAAAATGTGTGGTGCGGTCGTTTCGATACGCGCGTGCGATTCGGCGCGCACGCACGGATGTGCATTCGCTTCTATGTCCGTGGGAAATTGATGACTAAGAAGGAAACGATATTTGTTTCTTTCTTTACGTAACAATAGGGATATAGCATTTTTCCGCTCATTTTGTCAACGTATTATAATAATTTGTTGTTTACAAATTGGTAACTTTTCTTTCCTCTTGACAAGTGGGTCAGGAATCAATTTCTTCGATAGTCAAGATAGACGGATACAATTTCTTGGCTGAAATATTGGCGAATGTTAATAAGCATTAACAGATTTTCGCATTATTATTTTATTCCCTTATGACAACGGAGCCTGTTAACTGTCTGTAAAGGATTCGAAGCGCCTAAAAAAGGGAAAAAATCCAATAAATTACGCTTTAATATTTGTTCAACCTTGTGTTGTCTTGCAACCACAGAGCCTGTAAAGAATCCGAAACGTCAAAAAAAAAACAATAAATGACTCTTTTAATACTTGTTCCAAATAAAGTGTAAATAGTTTTTGGGTATATTGTAGTCATCATAGTATTGACACTATAACAGTGATGCAACATATTTTCACACATCATTCTACGCCGATACTACACCGGTATATATTGCTGACACAATCGTAGCCGTGTAACGTCCGAGATGCATCCCAGTGCAGTCAGTGGGGCGACCGCTTGCGCAACTTGTGCACTCACTTTCCATTCGGTTGGTGCGCGTTAGGGCTGCCGATTATGCTACACATATTAGTTTACCTATTAATTTTGTGTTTGACGTGAAAAGCGTATACCAATTCATTAATTAATTATTAATAAAAGGATATTAGTAAATATTCCAATGAAAGTTAGTCTTAAAAATTAAATCATTGTGATCCTTAGGAATCCAATATATGCATAAATGCTCTTTAGCGCATTGGTTAGTGCGATCCATTTGCGTTATGGAATTTCTGCAATGTCCCGGCTGCATTATATGCAGTCGTTCCATACCAAGTTGCAGTGGGCCCATCGTAGTTGGTAATTATTTTTAAATGTCAAAAAAAACAATTTGGTTTAAAACATTTTCAGTACCCATGAAACTAAAATTCATAAAGAATAAATCCAATAAGCCAAAGCATTGAAAGGAAAAAGGTAAATATTAAAAAAAATACTGTTTTTAAATTGACAAAACGCATCAGCCCTGCTGCGAATGCGCACCGCACGGCGAACGCGGTTGATCTCGCTCATGGAAGATTATCGATTCCTACTATTTGCATAAGTGGCTTTCCCACGGTCCGCTCTCCGCAGCCCCGCGCGTGACGGAGAGCGGTGCGCTCCTCAAGGTCTCTAAATATTAATGGGGCGAAGCGTGCCCTCGGATTGTGAGCGAAGATTACACATGAACCTCTATGTATATAACCAGTTTGTTTACAATTGCACCGTGTGACCCCTGGAGACCTTACGCTACTTTTTCGTGGTTGTTTTAGTTTCACTTGTTTTTTTAAATTAAATCGAGACAAAGGCTAATGAAATATATTTCAAAAACAAAAAGATAAGAGAGGTAGAAGTTATTATTATTAAGAGCACGGGTTCTATATACTCATATATTTTATATGAAGCTCTTCTCTATGAATATATATTTCCTTATTATAATAGTTAAAATATAAATTTCCTCAAAACCACACTGTTTGCCGACAACTTTGTGGTACCAACTCAATAGACTTATTTGAAAAACCTTAATTGCTCACCCACACTAGACAATCCCTTCAACTACAATACTTAACTAACAACATGCCGACTTTTTTAGACCGTAAGTAACTCAGCGTGAGAAAAGCATTGAATGTTGCTGAAAATTCTTAGAAGAATGCCTTTGGTGAACCTAAGAATAAATCGGAGACACGATCCCTAAAATCGCATAGTACCTATGTATTAAGTATATGCCTTGCTGTGAAAGATTGATCGCGTACAAAGTACTGACTCATCACAACAAAATTACGTCACAGCGAAAAGCACATTAACATAAATTCGTGACTGCGATCTGCGACCCACCGACTCGGTCTGTACAAAATATCAGTAAACCCACTTCCGGTGATGTAAATAAAACCATCCATTGGTACATTTGCGACATTGGCATAATAACTCATTCTTTACATACGGATCAAATGAGAAAAAGAAAACAATATTATTATGTATTACATACGATCGTTTCACGGTGCCTCGAGCACTAATATAGCAAATTTGTTGATGAAACTAAAATCAGTAGTCATGTCGGTCAACTATTTTATATGTATTGCTAAATAATCGTAAACCATGTCTAAGCAACATGCGAAATAAATTTCAGCCTCGCTCTTCTCATTAATCTTTATGTTATCGTAATTTAGTTATTGATTGATTTATTTATTTATATTGCCGTCCCCAATATCGATAATCTATCTATTGGTACATTTTTTTATCTGTTACGTTATGCTAGTGTGTTGCTGCAGTACAAATACTTATGTGAGTGACTAAACATTAGAAAAATGGAAATTAATGCACAATTATAAAGCGCTTAACTATTATATTATATATTTAATGAAACATCTTTAAACAATGAAAAAAAATTGTGTATTATAAAATGTTCGATAGATTTAAATCAAAGGGAAAGACAATTCTAAAAGATATGTAAATAGTTTGCAACGATGTTCTATAGAAGGAAGCCCTTAAAGGTCAGGTCGCGCACTGAACTGTTACGAAACCTCTGAAAGAAAGTTAACTCATTACCTACTTTCAAAGTATTCTGGGTATATTTGCTTTTTGATTTTCCGCTGGAATTGGAGCGCTTGTCAGGGGAAGTAATCTCCACCTTACAGAAGATCACAGTAAAATAACAATACCTTTTGATGATGTTGTGCTTCTGTCGGTGAGTAAGGTTCTCCAAGGGCTCCACGGGCTAGGGGATTGGGTCAGGGTAGGCGTCACGGTGCGAATAATATTTTTGGTATCGTAAGCGTTTATATGCAATGGTGGCCGCTTACCATCGGCGGAGCACACGCTCGTTTGCATCCCTTATAACATAAAAAAATGGGTTCCGATTTTTAAAATTTTTGATACTCCCTACGGAATCCTAAAAAGTGCAGTGATGTTCTCGCATAAATAAAAAAGAATAAGAAGTTAACACCTGTGATTTAATTACAAATTCCCTTCTGGATTTATCCGACAAGCCAGTTTTTGTCTTTTACGGTGCCTTATAATTATATTTTACGCCTAATATCTGCTAGAAATTGTTACTTAATTCGCATGGCACTCTGCGGTCCAAACTACCGCAACATTCACACACAAGTGTTTACATAAGCGCGCTGCGCTGTACCGATGACCTTTCGCGGAGGATGCGCACCTTACGTTTGCGCAACGTTATTTCACCGGTACGTACCTTTTACGTTGTACCCGAGACATGTGAGGAATGAGGAATAACAATATTTAACTGAATGGTGGTTAAAATAGGGCTTCAAAGTAGGCAAGTCAATTTTTTTGATCAACTTGGTGGCAATGACGACGGTACTGCGCGGTTAAGCGTAAGATTAATAAACACAATACCCACTCTGCGCGTCGTCCTGCTTGCATTGCGCAGTCAGGTAAATGGTAACAGGCAACCATAGAAATTGGAGTCAGGTTTTAAAAATCAACAGAAACATTGAAAAAATTGACGGGAATGGGAGATTCCGTTGCAAAGAACCTACAATATTATAAACTGTATCGAGCAAAAAATTACGAAAACACACATATATTTCATGTATGAAGATTATTCTATTATACTATTTTGTTGTAATAGCGACTATAGTAAAAAGGATTCTGTGAAAATGTTTGTTTTCATTGCCACATCATGAGGTTTAAACATACCTACAAACGGTTATATGACCTCCCAATTTTGGTCGTCAAGTCTTACTTGTTATTGTTGTAAATTACATATTTCTCCGAATTGTATAATTTTATGTAATATCAAAAAAAGATCCCACGCTAATATCTTCCCAGTGATGCGTTATCGTGACAGCACAACTACGCCCACCGTTAACACATAATTAGTTTTACGATTGCCTACTAGTCGTAGACTTCTCGTAATTTGGTGTTAGCAAATTTCGCACGTCCCACTAGCGGATACTACTACTTAGAACACTTTTTCTTTCAAAATATCTATGATTTCGAGAATAGCGACCTATTTATTTTTATCATATTTATTACGTATATTTCACACACAGCAATCATTTAATTAAACACTTTTTAAACGAACATTTAGAGCGTTCTTAACAGACTTTGAAACGGGGGAGGTTTTTAATTCTTAAATAAATCTTCGAAGTGCTGGTCTGATTTTGATGGTTTTGTTTTTTGTTTGATTCAGTTTTATATTGTTGTTCTCTTTCAATATTGTTAGTTGTTATCAGTACGCCAGCTTTTTACCTTGTACACCATTCTTAAGCAGCATCATGCTATTGATTATCTCTCTCCTACCACTCAGTCCCGTCGTAATCATCTAATTGTACGCTCATTGTCATTTAAAACATATTATTCCCATAGATTTTTCTGTTTCTTAGGGCCTTTTCTGTATAAAACACTTCAACAGAAACTCAATATTTTCGCTCTTGATAGATATCATTGTAAACTCTCAGTAACATCTTTCTTGCAAAAAATTAACTATGATGATACCGAAAAACTACTACTCCTAATCAGATAGTTATGTCTCAATCCTGTTAACAACAAACTTATTAAGTAATACATAAATTATTCGGAGCGTTTCTGGAGGTTTGTAAATGTCTGAGTAGAAAACACAATATTACACACACTATAAAATCCTAACAAAAAAATCCTACCATCGTTTGTAAGTTCTATTTTATCACTTCATCAAGTAAATACGCCTGTCTGATTTTGAAGCAATAAAGTAACAATCTTCGGGCAAGTGCATATAAATTAATGTATGATGGTATGTAACTTAGGTTTAATTTGTGTTTTTGCGTAGTGTTCTTTCCTAGTAGTGGATTTGAAAATCCATTATACTAACTGTGACAACGTATAACTCTTTGCTTCTTCGATAAAAATGTGCTTTGTATAAATTTGTCTTGGCTCTAGTACCGATCATTGTCAATCAAGTCATTATTTGGATATATGTGGTATATTATATATTCTCCTACAGGTATTTTTACATGTAGAAACTTACTTTGTTAAGATAAAACGGTCACCTTACGAAGAGGAGGGTACTGGTGCAGTGAGATACAGTCTCTCGCAATCTTATGAAATATACAAATATTGTTTAAATTATAAGATGTAACTTGTAGATTGTTAGAGAAAAGTAAAAAAAGTTATTATTATTATTATATTAACCACGGTGCCTGTAAAGGGAAGCGTCAAAAATAATATCAAGACTAATAAAAGCGCAGTTTAGAATGGTTCAAGAAGTGTTAAACCTACTCTCATTTTTCGATCGCGTAATACCTACCAAAATCAGTCATTGCAATTATTTATACTTAATGTTTGCGTAATAACAAATAATAATAACAAACAGACTAAGCTAATGAATGCACTATAGTTGTGTTAAATAATCAGAAAATCATGTAGCTCGTGTTTTTTTGGCAACGCCTTAATTGAATGCTGATTCTTGAAGTGATTTCCTTATTGGATTAATCAACAAGTTTATTTAATGCTAGAAATCATTTTAGCATTAAATGAACTTTTTGATTGATCACATTTTATCTAACTTGTTCGGTAAAGAGATTCCTTTAAAGTTATTTACACCTATTAATTAAGTTATCCTCCTCCTTGTGTCGTGCTCCTTATTGCTGAGGGTCGTGACCTCCACGAATTATTTTGTGGACGATCGCTTTCCACTTATTGCGGTCTTCCGCAGTGTGGAGTGCATCGCGGACTCCAGTTTTGATATTGTCGCGGATCTGGTTTATCCAGCGCACGGGGCTTCTTCCTCTCTATTTATTAAGTTATAAAATCACCTAATATATACCTATAGAACTACATATAAAATACATTTTTACAATAAAATACATTGTCATTATGAACTACTTATATATGCAACTAGCAAACCCGGCGAACTCCGTTTCTCCACCAGATGGCTTCGTTTTATGTAACATTTCGTTTGGTGATTAAAAGTAGTTTTTTTTTTAATTTTTCCTGAATTTTCTTTGCTATAAACCTTACGGAGCCCGAGACCTTTCCAACGAATGCAAAACCGTGGAAATCGGTTCGTGCGTTCTGGAGTTATAGCGTCAGGAAGGAAAACCCGACTTATTTTTATATAGTAGACTACATAAACAACCGTTGCTGACTGACTGATCTTTTATACACACAATTAAACCACCTGGTACATGACCTTTCGGGAATTCACGAGTTTGTTCAGTTTTGAAGTTATAAATGAGAAGATTGGTAACTGAGCTTATGGTTTACTACCAATAAATGTTTTTTTGTTAATTCATACTCTAAGTAAGGAGTTAAAAAATAGTATTTAGGAAACTTTATAATGGTTATATTTTTATTTTTTAAGCATTTAACTGCTAGATGTTTCAATCTAAAGAAATCTTAATAGAAAAAAATCCACGCGTAACAGGCAACAGACGGGACTCGAACCCGATTAGCTTAATGGTCAGTGCATCCGCCCAGATGATGGAGGGTGCGGATTTGAGTCCCGTCTGCTGACTGGCCCGAGTAGATATTTTATTTTTGATTAAACATTTAGCAGTTAAACTTTATAATACTTATGTTTTGACATCTGGACAGTAAATTCTGAGAATGGTCAGTCATCATGGAACAGTCCGAAATATGCGAATGTTACATAATTCCATTTTTTACCACTATTCAGGGGGAGCAGAAAGATTCAACTGCAGGAGTCGAATCCTCGGCGCGTACTACGCCGACGCGAAGTCGGGCTGCAAGGCATTCCACGTTTGCGTCCGAGTCGCGGGCGGCGGCATTCGAGACTTCCGGTTCTTCTGCCCGCCTGGCACGTTGTTCCACCAAGAGGCGCAGACTTGCACCGACTGGGGTGACGACGACCCGCTCGCCTGCCCCGCTGACATCTACGACGGTCAGTTCGATCTCTACAAGATAGGATCCGGTGAGCCAGCTTTGCGGACTAACATCAGCACACACAAGTATATTAATTACAAAACAGGTAACTCAGCTTATAAAAAGCTTTTCGGTCGTACTACATAAAAGTTAGATACTGTTTTAAACCGTGTTTAGGAAAATTTTGTTAGACATTTTTCTTTAACTCGTGTTGAACGCATGTCTAACTTTTTTGAGTTAATAAGGTTTGCGTTTTTATAGTTATATGCTTGTGTGTGCCGCTACCTAGCGCTAATTACTATAGTATAGAATCAAAATTATTTGAATGTAAATTACAATATTGAATTACATGTTTTATTTGGTAATGACTAAAGATCCATACCAAATATGTAGGCAATTTTTTTGGATCCCAAAAGGTACTTAGCGTAATTACGTTAAATCCGCAAGAGTAAAATTTTGACTCATAGCAAATAGAAATAGGTGTGACATCATGTCATTTGAAAGGTTAATAGCAGCATTTGGTAATGGATTGCAGAATAACTCAGCTTAAACGAATACGCTTGCATTGTGCCGCTTATGAGTACAATGAAACCGCATCATAAATAATGCTGTGAAACAGTTGGAAAAACAATGTGTGGAGTGCAAAAGTCGCGTATTGCCTTAACGAAGTGTTGTAAAATGCTAATTCGTATATTATTGTGTATCCGTTTTCAGGTTTTGACACCAAGAAACTGTCGTCTCCCAGTCATCGCGAGGAAGAGTCGGAATTCGGCCTCCAACGCGCAGAGACCGGAGATCGTCGTTTGTCTCAAAACAATGTGGCTTCCGACCTCCGCGCTGCGCACTCGTCGGACTTCTTCAGTGGCCAGAGGGACCGAGGTCGCGATGAGCCCGCAACGCAGGAAAACGCCCCTATTCAGCATCCTCGATCATCGTCGTCACGCCAATCGTTCCGAAGAGTTGTTTCGACGCGAGCACCTCCAAGGGCTCCAACCACACAATATACCGACCCACCCTCTCCCCCCTCTCCGCAACCTTCAAACCCACCACCTCAGTACGACTATAACACAAAGCGCAAGCTCCTTAGGAAAAGACCAGTTTATACCACCACTCTTGCACCAACCACAACTTATGTACAAAACACTCAACCCCCGCAAAAGTTCCCAGATCAACAGCAGAACTTCAATCGTAAAGTGGTTCTCCAAAATACACAAACTCTACCTCCGGTCAACGTACCGCCACAGTTCAAAGAGTACAAAGATGAATACGTAGAAGTGAGTCGCGTTACTCCTAAGCCCAACAAGTACTTCCAGAGCAACTCGCCAGCCGCACCTTTCTCTCAATCTTCACCTGCGCCCAACAATTACAAGAAAAATGGTCTTGTAGAGCTTTACAATTTAGACTCTCAATCGACGCCTGGACTTAATACGCAAGCAGACACACGACCTTTCAAAGTGCAAAATAGCTTTAATGTTGCCGAGATTCCGAGAGAACCTGATTTTGTACGTACAAGACCCAGTGTCAACATAAATAATAATAACAATAATTTTGCAAGAGTCAAACCTACAAGTGTGGACTACAATAAAGTACTATCTTACAGTTCAACTACTAGTACCCCGGCTTACAAAAACTTTAACAGCGTTTCTTACGAACCGGAAAAAAATAATTTCGTATCATATTCGAAACAAAATTATTTCAATCCTACGACAACGCCTTCGACAACATTTTATACGACCACAACGCGCTCTGAGCTACCTGCAAACTTAAATACGGTGGCATATAATACAAATATTGGTTTCAATACTCCAAATGCCAACTTCGCCGAAAGCGATGAGGACGATGGCCAGTACAAGCCACCACAGGGAGAGGATGACGGACAATACCGACCAGAACTGTACGAACGCGAACGCGAACTTCTTTCCGGAGCGCACTCTCTGAACATAGCTGCTAGTGGAAACCGTCTGCCCGAAGACCAGAAGCCCCGCGGTAAAGCGCAACAACCATACAAACCGGTATCGCAGACTGCAGCTCCTAGGCCTTTCAGACCAGCACCGACGCCTACATCACCGTCCACACAGCGTGCGCCTGACAGAACGTATCCGACCACAACCAGACCTCAAGCGCAACAACAAACACAGCGCGCCTTCGACTACTTCCAGACCTACACAACAACGTCGCGACCAAGTGATTTACCTGTAGATCCGTTCAGTTACGAGACAAGAGCACCAGTGAGGCCAACAACTACGCCTGCTTCTAGAATTCCTGAGCCTAAACCGCAGTCTCGAGCCCCACCTGCGCCCCAAACTCGACCACCAACCCCACCTTCACTACAAACCCGACCGCCAGCGCCTCCCGCACCGCAAACCCGACCGCCAGCGCCACCCGCACCGCAAACCCGACCGCCAGCGCCACCCGCATCGCACACCCGACCGCCAGCGTCACCCGCACCACAAACCCGACCGCCAGCGCCACCCACACCACAAACCCGACCGCCTGCCCCCCCTGCGCCACCAACACTAGCTCCCGCGCACCCTCGACCTTCCACCCGCCCGCCTTCCTTCGCAAATCCACCAAACAACAAGGAAGACGCAAGCTATGATTACGCGTACTACGACTCCGATACAGGCTTCTCAGAATACGATCATATAGAAGAATTCGGTAGGACCAAAAAGAAGGCATGATGAACAAACAATATGCCTTTATCAAATTCACTGCCATTAAATTAGTCGCCTCTTTAGATAATTTTTAAATCTTTCTTAAAAATAAAAAGTACAATGTCACGAATTGAATACTCATAAAATATTGTTTATATGAAAGTTAATATTTGATGTTGTAATGTTTCTCAAAAAAACTAATGTTTTGCGTTGTTGTGTTATCTTAACAAGATAACCTTTGTAAATGGTTACCAAGTAAATTCACTATCTGAAGAGGCTTTTCCAGTAGTTACCCTAAATTATTTGTGATATTATTATTGACGTATTATTGGAATAAGTCGTTACATGTTGTCTTAGTTCACGAAAGGTAAAAGGTAAAGATGACCACCATTATGAATTATTGTTATACCGATCGACTTTTTTTATCCTTTTGTGGTATTTGTAAGTGCAGACCGAATGAAGTATTTAAAACAAATCATACCGAGCTCGACAACAGCTTTATTTCGCTCTTACAATTTAGTTTTATTTCTTATCTATATGCAATAGTGTAAGTTATGAGGATAGATTGTAAAATATTACACTGTAAATAAAGATTATAAAAAAAACAATAGGTGTTGTAAACTATGTCACTTCCCAAACGAAAAGGCTTGGGAACCAACGCCGCGCATTAAGGTATGTGTGCGTGAGTTGTTCCAATCGAGTCACTCTACCGAAACTTTAACGATTATTACATACAAGGCTGAGATTTTTGCGTTTCTATTTGAAAGAATAGGACTATTTGATTGGCAGACATCTAAGTATATCTGCTTTAAATATTATATGCAAAAATATGAAAGAAGCAAATTATGATATAGTCCACCATAACAAAAAAGGAAAAATGCTTAAGGCATACTTCTACAATAGCTGATACATAAAAATATCTGGAATGAATAAGCAAAATGCTTTATAGTAGATTGTTAACCGAGGGTGGAATAAATCAATTCCCGAGGTATCTCTTATCTATTAGACAAGTCCGTCCGTGGTGCTGTTTCAGCGGCCAAACCGTAAGAGATAGATATAGAGAATGTTTAAGTTATAAGTTAAGAATAGTCTGATAAGACTACAAACCGGATGTGAGTAACGTAGCACTTCCGGTTTTCGAGAAATCACGTGATTTCTATTTCAAAGGAAACCACACAAAATCTCCGAAGTTCTCAATTAATTAAATACATTTTTTTGTGGTGTACATTTGGTTCACTGGTTTGCTAGTTTAGACTATAGTCCGAGTAGGAATTGATTCTTTTACCCGAGTTAAACACTCTACTTTTCATTAACGTTTATCAAAAATATTTATTCATAAATAGGTATATATATACCGTTAAATTAGAAGTAGCTATTTAAAATTAATTGTCATATTAGGACAATTAGTGAAATTAAAAGTTACATTCTTCTTTGGAATGTTTATGCTGTTTGATATACTATTACAAATTTGGCTGCTTTTTTTTCATAATATTTTTATTCAATTTTTTACAATATGTCTTTTTAACTAGGTTATTCTTATTCAAATTTCACCGTGTTTAATAATATACTGTCCGTGCTCGAGGCTGCTATTTGATACAGCCAGGGGCGCGGGTAGAAGTCTGAAAGAGGAAGCATAGAAGGATAGTAAAGTAGGTAAACAAGAAAATAGGGAGGTGAAAAACAAAGTAAAGAAAAGTTGATTCACATTAGTCCCGTTAAATACTACTCATTTGCTTCGAGTTGGCCGTCGATAGCCAATCACAGGCACAACAACTGGTACCATCGTCCAATAAGGTCGACTAATAGGGACTGTCTAAAGCGCGGTGTTCTGAAGCTGGGAGGGTGGAAGCAGCCAATTCGAAGCGAACGCGTAGTGCTTTGGTTATTCAAAGTATTTGTTATTAATAGAATGCAGGGTTCACTCAACTTTGGCTGTTTTGGCTATCTGTAAAAGTAGGAGACTCTGTTATTTCATCAAAAGCTGGATTCCATGGCGGAAGTTGGCGGCTGAGGCGAATTCTGCTCGCCACTTTATAAAATCATTGTATGTTTTCATATACGAGTATCTCTCTTTTGATATTTCTGGCAAAAGATTCTCTATAACACAATTTGCCTCGTCTTTAGTTGAATCCGGTGTTAATATTTCTGAATCGCTGGAACTAATTTTTAATATTCAAAGTTGGATTGGTCTGTTTTACTTAAAAGATTATGATTATTTTTTTATTCCTTCACAGATTTAGTCTTTGGGGCGTGTGTCGGAGACTTGGAGAGATGCTAACGTGCAACCGGTGCCCAAAAAAGGGATCGCTCAGACCCGGCAAACTACCGGCCAATAGCAGTGACCTCAGTTTTATGTAAAGTTCTAGAAAAGCTCCTTAATAACCATCTGACCCGCTAGCTAGAGGATCACTCCCTGATTAATGATCGTCAATATGGTTTTAGACCGAAACGATCGACGGGTGATCTTCTAGCGTACTTAACTCATATCTGGGGTGAGGCTATCGACAAGCGTGGCGAGTCGTTGGCTATCAGCCTTGACATTGCCAAGGCGTTCGACAGGGTCTAGCACAAAAGCCTTCTCTCCAAGCTTCCGGAATACGGTCTACCAGCCCAGTTCTGTTCTTGGGTAGCTGACTTCCTGCATGAGCGTAGAATTCGTGTCCTTACGGATGGTAGCAGTTTTCGGTTCATGTCAGTGAATGCCGGCGTTCCCCAGGGCTCCGTCCTATCCCCCACTCTCTTTCTGCTGCATATCAATGACTTAATTCCTCTTGGGAATATTCATTGCTATGCAGGCGATAGTACAGTGCATGCGGGGTATCTCGGACAAGCAGCGGCTGGGCAGGGCAGGTAACCAAGGAGAAACGGGAAAATCTTGTCATTGAACTCAATCAGGCTTTGGACCACATTTCCGAATGGGGTAGCAGGAACTTGGTTGAGTTCAATGCCAAGAAAACTCAGGCTTGCGCTTTCACGGGAAAAACATCGTCATTCCTTCCCCTTCCCTCTCTTCAGGGCACAACACTACCGCTACAGAGCAACATTTCCATGCTCGGTATGGAAGTTCGCTCAGACCTGAATCCATAGGACTACATCGAAATCGTGATCAAAACAGCTTCACGCAAACTCGGAGTCCTGAACAAGGTGCGGCGTTTTTTCACTCCCGATCAGCTGTGCTTGTTGTATAAAACGCAAGTGCCGTCCTGCGTGGAATATTGCTTGCACCTCTGGGATTGCTCCGCCAAATACTTGTTTGATGTTTTGGATAGGTTACAGCGGTGCACGATCCGCATCATAGGCGATGAGGAGGTGACTAAACATCTTGAGCCTCTTCAATTACGCCGTGACGTGGCGTCACTAAGCGCGTTCTATCGTCTGTACCACGGCGAGTGTTCTGAGGAGTTATTCTCTCTTATCCCACTTTCCCCTTTCCTTCAGAGGACCACGCGCGCTGGCCTGCATTGTCACCGTCTAACTGTGGCCACAATTCCAACGCGTACAAAGAATTTTGGTGACTCATTTCTCTGCCCGCTCACGTGTTCCCTCCCTCTTACAACCTGGGATCCTTTAAAAGAGGCGTGTAGAAGCAACATGCAGGCCGGCAGGGTGAGGATGGCTGGTGTGGCAGGTAGAACTGCTGTATCAGCTATCTACGCGTCTGGACTTCCCCTTCACTTAACATCAGGTGGGGTGGAGTCATTTGTCGGACCTATCTATAAGAAAAAAAAAGATACATAACAGTTTAGTATCCCGCCAATTTATGTCGACTTTTTAAATTTAAATATGGAACAGCGTAATTGTTGCGGCTTATTCTGCTCAAAGAAGTTTGTGCTAAGTTCACACTGGCTTTGTAGAAACTCACATGGCCGCAGCATTTTTTTGTTACGTAAAACTCTTCACACCTGGCAGTAGTTCTATTTTTAAAGTTCATTCCGGCACTTAGGCGGGAAGTAATTTGTATGAGTTTTTCCCTCTCTAGGGAAGGAAGCAGCATTTTTCACCTAACAAACAGATCAAAACAACACCACTTTCCGAGAATGAGAAATGGAAATAGTATATTTTAATACAGTTGCTCAAAAAGTGGCGTATTGCAGGGACGTGTAGCGTTCGGGATCTGGGCTATTTCACACTCGTGCTTTTTTTTTGCCTTTCCCGAACTCGTGCGTTTTCTTTCCCAACTGTCAAAATTATTTCTATTAAAAAAAACAACCATGAAGTTTTAACTAAAAAAAATCATAGAAGTTTTTGCGATTCATGCAAATAGGTTTATTTGTTTTTAAAAAGAAGCTACCTATACTAATTTGTCCAATATCAGAATTAATTAATTGATTGAATGAGTTAGGTAAGGTTTCAGTTCATTTCATATCATTAAATTTCAATTTCATTTCTTATAATAAAAAATACTAAGTACTAAAGACTTGGCTGTATGGGCAGTTCCCTTTGCCTACCAGAATGGGTGAAAAAAAACTGCTTACATTCTACGGTTGGCGCCATTTTCCGAAATTTTCTTTGCGAGTTTAGTTGTTTTTTACACAAAATGAGTAATTTCGACCTAAATTTTTTTGAATTAACTCCACCGGAACTCAGTATAATTGCACAAAATGCTTCGGAGAACATTTTACCGGAAAAGTCAAAAATTCGCTACATATCTACATACGATGAATTTATTGCGTGGAAAGAAGAGAAAAAATCAAATAGTTTTTCAGAAAATGTTATGTTGGCATACTTTTCCGAACTCTCAGCAAAATTAAAACCTTCTACGTTATGGTCAAGGTTTTCGATGATAAAAAGTATGCTGAAAATAAGGAACAACGTGGATATAAGTCAATATCCAAAATTAAATTCTTTCTTAAAACGACAATCAGACGGGCTTACCAGTAAAAAGTCGAAAATATTAACATCGAATGACGTGGAAAGGTTTTTGAAAGAAGCTCCCGATGATTGTTATTTAGCCACAAAGGTAATTTATTAATAAGTATACATATCTACATTTTTCTTTAGTGTTCAGTTTACAAAATCGCAAAATACAGTCAATACATTATTTATATGAATCAAATCGTTTTTTTTAGGTTGCTTTGATTTTTGGCGTTGTTGGAGCTTGCCGCAGAGAGGAGTTAGCCAATATTACTTTAAAAAATATTGAAGCCCATGGAGAAATGCTACTTATCAAGATTCCAAACATAAAAAATAAGATACCGCGAAGCTTTGTTGTTGAAGGAGATTTTCTCACAATAGTGAAAAAATATATGAACCAGCGGTCCCAAAAAGGAAAATCCGACCGTATTTTTCAAAATTTCCAAAAAGGGAAGTGTACAGCTCAAGTAATCGGCATAAACAAATTTGGTAATATGCCAAAAGAAATAGCTACGTTTCTTGGTCTGCCGGATGCTGAGTGTTATACTGGGCACAGCTTCAGAAGGACCTCTGCTACATTATTGGCAGATTCAGGAGCCAATTTGACGTCCTTAAAGCGACTAGGTAGTTGGAAATCGGACAAAGTTGCAGAAAGCTATATTGGTGATTCATTAAACAACAAACTAGAAACTGGGAAAAAGATCACACAATCCATTAATTTAAGGTCCAGTCCGTCTCCTTCACATGCTGAAGA